GACTTTAAATATATGTTTATTCCATCATATAAGGCTAAGCTACCTCCCGGATCCTCTATGTTCCAACTATTCAAAGCATTACTGAGATTGCAACTTAGTTAAGGTGCCTATTTCTAATTTGAATCTACCTCTGTTAAAGGAATCTGAAAAATTATGGTAAAGATAAACGACTCAAATTTGTAAGCTATTTAATTAAAATCTCAAAATAAGTCTGCAACAAGAAGAATGTAACCTTTCTCATATTCCTAAAACGATTAAGTTTAACTCTGTCTATAGGAAGAAGATCTTTCCTCCTACCCAAGGCTTAAGGCTATAGATCAGTCATAGCAACTCTAGTAATTTCAGGAGAAGACATGGAATAAGTCATTACAGATCAGTGGATAGAAGAGAAACTATATTGACAATCTAATGTTTAAGCTGAGAAGCAGTCATGGTGAAAAAAATTATTTTCCAAGGCCTTGAGATCCACACGTAATTCTTTCTCATCTTTGTTCTCTTCATCAGTTTATGAGTAGTGTACAGTGAAAGTTGTCCCTATTCTTTTGACATTCATAATAAATAAATACCCCAGCAGAGCTAAGGAAAAAAGTTTGACCAAGGGCATGTCGCTAGTTAAACGAACACTCCTGAAAATAGCTCATAACCAACATGATAAACAGCCAGCTCTAGATAATGGGGCTTATTGAGTGTGTTCAGTGCGAGATTAAATGGAGCTACGATAGAATATTAGACTTTGATTCACGGCCTAAGGTCTGTGGCTGGAGGGACTAAAGACCAGTAATTCTTCACGATTTCATTAACTATCTAAGGTTCAATACCAGGGATCAGTTATGACATTATTAATCGTCCAAGTTTCAAGGCTAGGAAGCAGTTATAAAGAGTTTAAGGTTGAATGCTGAGGACCAATCATGGTAGTCTTACTTCTTTTAAAGGCACTAGACACATGCCCCTACTGGAAACGAGCAACAAACAGAAAGAAAGGTCAGGGGATAACATATCATCATAGAGGCGTTTCTCCTTGTCAAAGGTACATTGAGGTTTGATAATGAGGACCTACGATGGAACTTTATTAACAGGCTTCTGGACTTTACCTATAGATAAGTGCTAGCAAAAGTAAGCATCTTAATATATGCCACCATCACACGCCAAGAAAAGAATGAAGAGCTATGACAACTCAAAGAGGGATTAAGTCTAGCGGTGGGCAGGACGAGAGTCCCACGCCCGGTTTAAAAACAAAATTTTTCTTTAAAAAGACAAACGAGCTTTTAACTGTTCGGTAGGGGTAAGGAAAGTGTACGACAAACAAATGTTCTGAAAAAAGGTAATTAAGATTAATTAATCAAAAGAGATTATACTTATGAATCATGTATTACAAATATAAGTGTATAATTAAGGCTTCTTCCATGAATTAGAAAAAACACGCTTTTCAACTAACAAACTAAAAAAAAAGCTGTGCACAACTATGTAAAACTTTTTGGAAAGCTATAGCTTTATACAAACAGATACGTTGTCACAAAAAAGAGGTGTTATGTTATGAACATTGCGCTGGAATTTTTCTAGTGTATCTACTGCTTAAACACGATTACTCATTTGAAAATAAAAATTTTTACACATTTAGATACAGTGCATCAGAAAAATAACAATCTTATGGTGTGTTTGTTCAAAACTTTTTTCGTACTACAAGTTGATGAGATAATTTTATGTACTGTTATGCGGCAATATGGTCAAAATTAAGGATTGAATTGAAAAAAAGTTTTTGTAATGGTTATTTCGCTACACAGTAGTCCAAGAAACCGTCATATAAAAAGTATTAACATATCAATTTCTTTTTAAACATTTTAAAATTCATTATTCTTTGAACTCAAGATGATATTTTTATTTGCTAAATGTTTTGCACAATTTTAGGAATGCTATTATTTAATCGTTATTTTTATAATCTAAATATATAAGTACAAATTTAAATAAAACATGTTTGTATTTCCTTCAAAGCTCTGTCATTATTTGAGTTTTCTCTCTACATTTAATGCAAATATGAATATCTTTGACCCCATTAAAACTTCTGTCTGAATGAGTATAGTATAAAAAAATATCGTTTATTTCTTTAAATAGTAAAATTAATTACTTTATGTTTTATGTTTTCATTGTTTAGCTGACATTTAAAGCAAAGTTTAAAAAAAAATTTCTTATAATTTACCACGAAATCTACTAAACAAAATTTTCTGAGGTTCTGAATACTAATTCTTGACACTTTCTTAACAGTATATGCACATTTAATTTCTTAGAAAAAAAAATAATTACTGCAATGGACAAAATCAAAGTCTTACAAAAAACGCTAAATATGAAATTTACCCCAGCCAGAGTCACTAAGTAACATCGACATAAAATCGAAGTCACTAACAATCAAAGTCAGTGAGCTTGGTAATAGTATTTCCAAGCAGGATGATGATTTCTGTAGCTATACACTAACAGTTTATTAAAATAAGAAAGGTTAGTTGTGTAGTTGGCTGTCAACCAACTACGCTCTAACAGTCTGCAATAAGCAAGCCAACTATGTTGACTCTCACCCTGTACTATCAACAAACCCAATAACACGAGAGAAGTAGTTATGAACATTAAAAATCTTGGCATAATATCTGAAGTTGTCTGACCAGAGCTCAACCAGCTTTAGCCCTTACGGGTGACCACTGTGACTAAACTAGGGATGCTAAAGCACCTCTTACTATAATAACAAGATACGAGAATAATCTTAAGGAGTTCGGTTAGATACATTTTCTAGAAATATCATCAGTCTCTGACAAAAAGTATCAATATTAACTCTTTCGGGGCCATGATCAATACATACGCTTACTAAAGCACCATAAATCTCATCGTTTTTTTTCTTTTTGAGTCATTTAACGTTGAATTATCATACTAATGAATTTATTTAAAATTTTTTCCACTAATATTCTGTGAAAGAGGAACAAACTTGTGCATACAGCAAGCTCCTTAGAAGGCTAGTGAAACGAACCAATCTTTACCTCGGACTACTAAGACAACTAAGATTAACAGAGAAAGGGTGTTTTGGACGCAAACTTTTCTGGCTCGTCATACAAGTAGACGTTAGGAAAGAGCACTACAACTAGCTTCAACGCTTCGGTTCGTTTTGGACTTTTTTTTACTTCTCTGGTGCTACAATGGCAGGCCAAAAAGGACCCCCTAGTAGTATCCAGGGAATTACGTTCGCTGGCAACTTGAGTGAAGAAAAAGTTTAGTAAACTGGTTCGTGTAAGTGCAATTAAATATTTAATTGTCTTGCAAACAAATTAATATATAACAATTCATTGAAGTTGGCAAAAAACAGCTTTTCTTGGAGCTTCAAAAAAATTTTGACAGTGCCCACAGTTGGAAGGAGACGAGTTAGAAAAAAAAATTTTTATGCTTTAAATGTGTACAATATTTTGCATCGGAAAAATAACTCGGGACATTTATGGAGATTTGAACAGCAGTGTCTACATTAATTAATACTTGATACATCAAGTGACGAATCAGCTATTTATCCTTACATTGATTACTTAAATTTAACAGCTATTTAAATAGGTAGAGTAATATGTATTTTTAAGCACTGCGGTAGTAAAAAATAAAAAGATAATGCTCCATGAGTTTCTTTTTGGTAGGCTAAGCTTTTAGTTTTAGTTTTCACCACGCGATGCTTTCTTATATAATAGAATGGTGCTCAATTCTTGCACGTATTTTTTAACACGTAAAATGGTCAGGGTTTTCGTTTCAATTTTATCCACTTCAGTCACATTTGTGAAAGCTTTGTTGTTGTTTGCTTGCTTAGTCAAAATTTGCATTACCACCCACAAGACACATTACATAGCACAGTTGCGAGAACTTTTAATATTACATTGTTTATGTACTACACACTTTAAAGAACTTTAAGAATCCAGGCATTAATATAGGAAGTACTAACTCAAGTCTTAAGGACTTTAAAAAATCAGTATAATGTTCGTAAAATAAATAAGTTAAACGGAAATTTTTAGTATCACTGAGCATGCATTCTTAATAACCAAATTAAAACCATTTCTAAAGTAACAAAAACTAAATACTTTAAACCTTGAAGTTAAATAAAAAAGTATAACTGAAAAAATCCAGTTTATTTAACTTTTTTGTCATGATCATTTCATTTTTATTGTCAAAAACTAGTTAAGATAAAAGTTATTTACTTATCCCTGGAAACTTATTGCATCTACCATTTGATGTGGTTTCTATCTAATTGCAGCGGCCATACTTAATAGTTTTTGTATTTATTATACTAGCCGTACTATGAATAGCTGCAAGAACGTTGCATTAATTCAGGTAATATTTTGTCTTTCAACTGATTTCTAGCTTATCCTGAGATTAGCTAATTAAAAAAAAAAAAAAGAAATTATGTAAATCCAAGAAATAAAAGGAGTAACCCACGGGCTTACCTAGAAGTTTCTTAATTTACTACTTTTAAAGTATAAATATAAATATTTCTACAAAATTTAAACATTTTTTTAACTATGTAAGCTTTTAAGACCATTGTGTTTTTTAACGTAGATTTATTAAATACTTTTATAATTATTAATTTGATTATATTTAAGACATCTTAAGTAGTATTAACATTAAATCAATTGCTATGAGAGTTTAAACTTAAGCATATGTTTTAATTTTACAACGTACTTAGGACTACCTACTTACTTATAACATATTATTGAAATGATTCAAATTGCTCTAAACACGCTAATTTTTTCTTAATATCTCTACTTGTTGTACGAAATTATTTTATTCTGTTTACTTAAAAAATAACAGATTTTAAAGTAAGTATTCTTGATAAGTAAATATTGCTTGCATCACACAAAAAAGTAACTGTTGCTAGACTGGTCTACTACATTTGATAAGATATTCCTTATTGTATAATGTTATGGATTAAATTACAAAAATTACTGTCTTCAATACATATAACTAGTTAATAATAATTTAATTTTTTTTTACAGGAAGCTGATCTTGCTATAACTGATCTAACTATTACAGCTGAGAGAGAAACAGCGGTGGATTTTACGATGCCATTCATGAATTTAGGTATGTTGTATGCCAATAGCATACGAAATGTTACAATAAGTTTCATTTCTATGTAAATAAGTTTTGAATGCTAAAAAAGTTAATCAGACCTCTTATATGTCATACTTAAAAATTAAATATCTTTTTATGATAGTCTTCAGTCAAACGAAATTATTTTAAATGAAATTATGAAAAGTTTTTGACACAAGAATAATGTGACGTTAATTTGTATTTCTTATACAAAAAGATATCACTGTTTCTTCTGTTACTTTTACGCTAATTTCATTATACAATTATTATAATTGTGTTTGACGTTGATTTCTCAATAGAAAAAGGTAGAGTTTGCTCTTCTTTTGCCAATAGCGCAATTATCAAAAAATTAAATTCTAAAATTTTCTGCTAAAAAAAGGTAGGTTATGACTATCTTGATAAGATAGATCATAATATTTTCTTAACGTACCTTCAAAAAAAGCTTAAGTTAAANTATTTTGCATCGGAAAAATAACTCGGGACATTTATGGAGATTTGAACAGCAGTGTCTACATTAATTAATACTTGATACATCAAGTGACGAATCAGCTATTTATCCTTACATTGATTACTTAAATTTAACAGCTATTTAAATAGGTAGAGTAATATGTATTTTTAAGCACTGCGGTAGTAAAAAATAAAAAGATAATGCTCCATGAGTTTCTTTTTGGTAGGCTAAGCTTTTAGTTTTAGTTTTCACCACGCGATGCTTTCTTATATAATAGAATGGTGCTCAATTCTTGCACGTATTTTTTAACACGTAAAATGGTCAGGGTTTTCGTTTCAATTTTATCCACTTCAGTCACATTTGTGAAAGCTTTGTTGTTGTTTGCTTGCTTAGTCAAAATTTGCATTACCACCCACAAGACACATTACATAGCACAGTTGCGAGAACTTTTAATATTACATTGTTTATGTACTACACACTTTAAAGAACTTTAAGAATCCAGGCATTAATATAGGAAGTACTAACTCAAGTCTTAAGGACTTTAAAAAATCAGTATAATGTTCGTAAAATAAATAAGTTAAACGGAAATTTTTAGTATCACTGAGCATGCATTCTTAATAACCAAATTAAAACCATTTCTAAAGTAACAAAAACTAAATACTTTAAACCTTGAAGTTAAATAAAAAAGTATAACTGAAAAAATCCAGTTTATTTAACTTTTTTGTCATGATCATTTCATTTTTATTGTCAAAAACTAGTTAAGATAAAAGTTATTTACTTATCCCTGGAAACTTATTGCATCTACCATTTGATGTGGTTTCTATCTAATTGCAGCGGCCATACTTAATAGTTTTTGTATTTATTATACTAGCCGTACTATGAATAGCTGCAAGAACGTTGCATTAATTCAGGTAATATTTTGTCTTTCAACTGATTTCTAGCTTATCCTGAGATTAGCTAATTAAAAAAAAAAAAAAGAAATTATGTAAATCCAAGAAATAAAAGGAGTAACCCACGGGCTTACCTAGAAGTTTCTTAATTTACTACTTTTAAAGTATAAATATAAATATTTCTACAAAATTTAAACATTTTTTTAACTATGTAAGCTTTTAAGACCATTGTGTTTTTTAACGTAGATTTATTAAATACTTTTATAATTATTAATTTGATTATATTTAAGACATCTTAAGTAGTATTAACATTAAATCAATTGCTATGAGAGTTTAAACTTAAGCATATGTTTTAATTTTACAACGTACTTAGGACTACCTACTTACTTATAACATATTATTGAAATGATTCAAATTGCTCTAAACACGCTAATTTTTTCTTAATATCTCTACTTGTTGTACGAAATTATTTTATTCTGTTTACTTAAAAAATAACAGATTTTAAAGTAAGTATTCTTGATAAGTAAATATTGCTTGCATCACACAAAAAAGTAACTGTTGCTAGACTGGTCTACTACATTTGATAAGATATTCCTTATTGTATAATGTTATGGATTAAATTACAAAAATTACTGTCTTCAATACATATAACTAGTTAATAATAATTTAATTTTTTTTTACAGGAAGCTGATCTTGCTATAACTGATCTAACTATTACAGCTGAGAGAGAAACAGCGGTGGATTTTACGATGCCATTCATGAATTTAGGTATGTTGTATGCCAATAGCATACGAAATGTTACAATAAGTTTCATTTCTATGTAAATAAGTTTTGAATGCTAAAAAAGTTAATCAGACCTCTTATATGTCATACTTAAAAATTAAATATCTTTTTATGATAGTCTTCAGTCAAACGAAATTATTTTAAATGAAATTATGAAAAGTTTTTGACACAAGAATAATGTGACGTTAATTTGTATTTCTTATACAAAAAGATATCACTGTTTCTTCTGTTACTTTTACGCTAATTTCATTATACAATTATTATAATTGTGTTTGACGTTGATTTCTCAATAGAAAAAGGTAGAGTTTGCTCTTCTTTTGCCAATAGCGCAATTATCAAAAAATTAAATTCTAAAATTTTCTGCTAAAAAAAGGTAGGTTATGACTATCTTGATAAGATAGATCATAATATTTTCTTAACGTACCTTCAAAAAAAGCTTAAGTTAAAATTTTTATAAAAAAGAGCTCCGTACTTAGTACACAAACTAAGTTTTGGCAATAATGATTTGTAACTGGTTTTCTCAAAAAGTTGCCCATTTAATTTATTGTAGTTCTAATAGTTATTATAGTAAATTTTAATGTAAAGTCAAACTTTAGTAGCAACAGCTCAAGCAATGTCTTTTGCACGAACATGTAGTTTACAGGACTAAAGTTTGGATCCTGCTTAACTTGCGGTATGACATTGCTGAATGACATTAACAAGTACCATCAGTATCATTTTTTTTTAAATCTTCATTATTAAAAAAGGAGTAAACTTAAACTAATTTGGTCAAGTCCTTATCTCCTTATGACCACTTTTAATAACTAACATTGTTAACTCACGTACAAAATACTATACACGACTTACCTTGCTACGCAAAAGACCTTGCAGCCATTAAGGGTAGCTGACAAAAAAGTTCGACTTATTTAACCACCAAACTTAAAAAAACTTACTACAACGGAATAATACTTGTTATAACGTTTGAACATTTTTTTCTTATTTTAGACATATTTTCTGTCTCTTCGTAGTATTAAGTTAATAGCCACACCAATGTACTACTCAAATTACGAAGCCACTTTAAAGGTAAAACATCCACACACTTGCTACAGAGTCGTATAATGAACAACGAAACTGTACATAAAATGGTAATTGGAGCATGAATTTATTTCAGTAATTAACAAAATTGCTAATATTTCGACGTCATTCTGACGTCATCCTCAGAGCAGCAGTGCCAGTGTTAGGACAACACATAACATTGCAAGTAAAGCAAAGAAAACTTAGTACACAACACAGTACAGTAACATCATAAACTGTACAAAAGTAAAAACAATGAACTATATATTAAAGTAGACGTATAACAGTATAGTGTTGTCCTAACACTTGCATTGCCACTCTGAGGACGACGTTAGCCCGATGTCGAAATATAAGCAATTTTGTTAATTACTGAAATAAAGTCATGCTCCAATTACCGTTTTTTGTACAGTTTTATTGTTTAATAAGCCAATTACCTAGTTACCCACGCAACCCAATTAACCGTATCTTCTTTAGAGCTTTAGCTTATATAATACATGCTGCTATGTTACTCCAATACAAGGAATATCTTAAGTGCTAGATTTTTTTAAATAAGCATCACCATGCTTACTGCTACTTTCATGTCATCCTGCAGTAAATCTACTAACTTTTTCCAAGTATCATCAAATGCGTTGACCACCCTGTTACCCAGTCCGAAGAAATTTTTTGTTAACAACTAGCAGTACAGACATACTTGGTCTCTAGCATTTGTAACGTTATAAACCAGTGTGGCTTATGAATGCCACAGATCGTGTACCTTAGAATTAAATTTAGCTACTAAAGCCCACATTAACATCTCGGTATGAATTTTAAAAAAACAGCTTAACTTCTAATTGCAAAGTTAAAATCTTCAACCACTACACTACTTATAGCCAAAGTAGGCTATTATATCTTAATTAAAAAAAAATTCTATTATTAAAAACGTTACCATTATAGAAAATCTCTCTCTTCATTCAGAAATATCTTAGAAAAATTGCTGCAAAAAATGTAGGCCTCAACTACATAGTACCAGACTTTGTTCTAAAGATTAAAGATATGTACTTATTCCAATGTATTATTTAGCTCATGCTCTGGCTTAAAACACGACTAAACTTGTCTCTGCCATTCATGACTAGTTTTGTACTATTTAACTGAGTATGACTAATGCAACTTAATGAAAAATAGCTTTGCTGTCGTAGTCTTTTCACAACACAATTAGAAGAGCATCAACTTATTCGTTACTTGTAAGCTTAGAAAGATAATTTTAGTTCAAGAAGCACAAGCCTGATTTTCTTCCTGAGAGATATGTACAATAGATACAAAATTTTATAAAAAAATCTTATAAAATTTCATTCGTATAATCTGTAGAAATTTTTAAATTTTTTCTGCATAAAAGATCATTTTTAGGTACCCCTATCAAATTTTTCAATAGATTTAAGAGTTAGTTTGTAAATAAACTCAAAAAGAAGGAATCTTGTATGCGTAAGAGCATGTATGTGAGTAAATTTACATCAGAAAACAATTGTCATCTTAGTTGCACATTTTTGCCCTCCTTTCACTTCTCTGAACCTTCCTACCGGTAACTATGTACACTGAAAAAAATTTTGGTAAGCAGCTCAACCATGATTGGAAACGCAGCACCCCCTTTATCTTTGTTCTACCTCTGCCTCGGCTCAGGCGTGCTACGCACCCTGTGAATAGAGTGGAAGTCACTACATATGTCGTTAGAAAGGCACGGCTCCCGCGCAGCAGTGCAGTCCCAGCTCCTCTTGAGAAGTTTAACTGTGATCCATGTGGAACAGTCCACTGCCTTACCTACTCAGCGGGTAAACTGCTTAATATTTAGGGGAGGCTGCTTGCCCTTAATGAGAAGGTAGCATTCTCAAAGAAGCACGCAGTATTTCTCAGTGGATAGTACGAAGCTGATAGTGTGCTTGGTCAAGGAGCTTACTCTGTTAGGCAAGCCTCACTCCCTACATTTTTCCAGTGTAGAGAATGTCATTAAGTTAAATAGTTACGCTGATTAAGAATGGAATAGTTGTAAAAGAATAAAATATATTAAAAGTAATTGTATTTGTCCAGAATAATTAATTTTTTCATTTTTTTTTTTAATGTTAAAAAGACATAAGAAACTTATATGAACAATTATTTATTCATCATGAAAATAATAGAAATATTTATAAGTTAGTAAATAGTCATTATTACACAGAAATGCTGCTCTGGCAATAGATACTAATTTTCAAGTTTTCGAAAAAAAAAATTCAGCTAGAAAAATTATTTTGTCAAGTAAATTATTTATGATTATGTAATATAAAACCAAACCAATCAAAATTCAGTAAATAAACATCAACTTTAAAAATAATTAACGACGTATAAATGCAGTAATTCAATTGTTCATGTTGGCACGGCTTATAGCATAGTAAATAAGGGCCTTGACTAGTGCTTAAAAGGTCAGAAATTCAAGTCACTTTGGAATTAGTTTTTTTTTTTTGGTAAAAGAAAAAGAGATGAAACTAAAAATCCGTTGTGTGGTGTGGTGGGGTTATGTTGTGTAGAGGCGACTGGAAGTACGTTATGAGGGACGAGGTGAAGGGGGGAGAATCCAGCAAAATCCATTCTCGTCACTTTTTATCAAGGCCACCAATCTAAAATCATTCATTAACCCTTACGCATGATGTGTATACCTTAAAAAAAAATTAACAGGAAAACTTCCCATGAGTTTTCTGGACAAACTTTAAACCTAATATCAAACAGTATATTCTGAGGTGTAATGGGTATGAAAAAAATTGATTAATACTTTTGAAAAAAAAAACCGTCTACGATTATTACACACATGTGCGTTGCCCTTTGAGAAAATCTTGAAAGATTAGTACGGTCGGCTGACCCTTAAAGAAAGAGGTATTAGATCAATCCATACAATGCATGATAGACTTATTAAATGTATAATTTCAATACTGGTGAGACAAACCAACGCTAATAAAATAACTGCTTATTATCTAAACAAAATATTTATCCTTTTTAGACTATCAGATGACCTACTATTCTATAATACTATTATTACCATTAGACATAAGCCGTTAGAAGAATAAGCATGCTTTTTTTCATAAGCGAATACTACATGATTAAACGCGAATTAAAATACGACTGCAGCATCGAAAGAAAGCACTACGAAATTACCAAGCATTCGAAAATACTAGAAAAAAACGAAATGAGAGAGACAGCTGATTAAGCCTCTTGATGCATGCATGAGTTGCCACAAAAATACAAGAGTAGACTACTCATCACATCAGTAAGTTCTCAGCAGAACCATTGTAAGCTTTAAATAATACTCCATGGATACAAAAAATTGTTAGCTCAAGAAAGAATGACATAAATGTATTCTACATACATAAAGTCTAGCTTTCAGCCACTTTCTTCTACCACTTAATGCTCGCAATTTGTCTTTTTTTATTATGCAGAATCACAATGCAAAAGAAATTAGACACAGAGGCTACAATGGCAAGGCACTGTTAGAACAACACACGTAGTTCAGGAACGTAAAAGAAACAGAAATACACAAAATAAGATGAGAACAAAGAGAAAAAAAAAAAATCCAGGAGGGGTCTAGCAGGGCAGATGATATTTAACCTGTGAACATGAATGTAGCTAGAGTCTCTTGCAACTGCTGTGGTGACTTAGTTTGTTGAACTTATACTTTAATAGATACGTTATGTGCAAGAGTAAGAAAACAGTTCCAGATTAAGTATATTATTGTCCCTCCACCCCACCCACCTCACCATACCACCCTAAGTCTCTGACTCTCCACACTACACGATGCTACCACGTCACAGAACACATTTTTAATTTTATTGAGTTTTGTTTTTTAACTATTTTCAAAGAGTAAAGAAACACTTCTCAAAAGGACTTGGACCCCTGCTTTTCTGCACCTAAACTTATTTCCTTACTTACTATTTTAT